TTTTCTGCCTGTTCTAGTTTCATGGTTGATGTTTTTGTTTAATTTGCTTAAGCGGTATGTTGGCTTATGAGGGTGCGTTTGGTAATGATTTTACTGATACTATATGATAACAGTTTTTTCTAGCAGGCATGTACAAGTATATCCTTTACCGTTTTAGTTTACAAAATGTTTTTTGCTAACAATTGCGCTTTTTACTGGATAACAATCATTTTTCGGTTCATACGTAGCTAAATCTTTTTTTAAAACTATTGATGCCAACGTGTTAGCAGATTGTCTGAATGATTTACTAATGCCAATCTAAATCGGTTTCATTTGATTTTTTCTTATACTTTCTAAGATATTATCTAATGGAGTAAATTCTAAATCACTTATTACTAATAACTTTTTGGTGAGATTTTGGTCAGCCATTTTGAAGTTTCCTAGATTTTCGAGCTACAATTAAATTCGCTAGGAAAATATTTGAAATTTATATAACGACAATACCATAGAATCTAATGGAAGCTCTTTAAATATTTGGTGGTCTTTAATTATTCTATTTAAACGTTCTGCAATATTATTTTTTTGATTTACATCATTAAAAGCTGAAAATCCGTGATATATTGACTTATTGCAATGCATTTTAATGTCATTTTTCAAATGTTTGTCAAAATATTTAAGAAAAATTGCTTTACATTTTCAGTTTCAATTTTTCATAATCGTGGTCAAAGTTTTTACTTTCACATAGTTTCTCAACATTTGTTATGTACACTTTGTTTTGATCTTTATAACCTTTTAATGTGCTGATATACTTTTTTACGTATTGAAGAACATGATTTCTGCAAAATATTATGTTCAATAAAATGTTTGAGTTTCTCATTATTGAATTTGCGATTGATTTTTGGCGATCTATTAAAATTGGAATATTCTTTCCAAATTTATCAAGTAACAAAAGACGATATATAAAATTTGACCAAACCATATCCTGCGTTATTTCATGCTTTCTATCGTGTATTACAAACATCACCGAAAATATTGGTTCTTTTACAAAGTCAGTGTTTCTCATAACTAAAATTGAAGCATAAAAGTCTCCTAAATGAAAAGTTGTATCATAAGATAAAATTTGTTTTAATGATGGTTTGGCATTGCTTTCTTTTACCAGTTTATTGGCAATTTCCAAAGCTTTTGGATGAGCCATAATTAACATCAAGTCACGATGAGTAGTAAAGTGTTGAATGAAATTATATAAAACTTGATTAGCTAGCTCTTGACCTCCGTAAACTTCATCTTTTGTAATTCTTCGTTTTTTCACTTCGTTGTATTTGATATTTTCGGTTTGCTTAGGGTTGCGTGGTGAAACCAATGCTTCAGCATCAATAAAAGAATAGGGAGTATTTTTTAGGTTATAGTCTTTTTTTAATAGAGTTAAAAAATTTTCGTATAATTTTTGTGGTTCAATAACCAAAGCATTTGCCTTTATAATAAGATTTTTTAGAGTTTTTGTTGAACGGATAAACGGTCTGTCACAATTGCTATTTCCGTGAGGAATTGAAACTGAAGCGCGATGATCTCCAAAATAGTGAATCACAAAAGGGCGACTGTCTGCGTGTTGCCATAAGACTCAGAATTCAATTCTACATAATAAAAAGTCTATCCGCGAAGATATAGAACGTTTCTTTGTTTCATTTCGATATAAATGCGGGGAAAACTCAACATTACTTAACGCCCTCTAGATTATAACTGATATCTTAACTGGGCTTAATGCAATAGTCGTAAAATAAAGCTTTTCTAATGGAAAATTTAATTTCGAATCGATTTAGCAAACTCAGATGGTGTGAAAATGCATTGTTGCTGCTGTAAAACTGGTTTTTAAGCATTTTGATCGGGTTTTTGTTTAATAACTCCCTAAGCACGTATTGGTCGGGTCGACATTTCGCGTGTCGCCATTCGACTTGAAAAAGTTTATCCGCGGGTATGATACTCATTTTTAAAAAATCTCTACATTTTAGGGACTACCTTATTAGGTGTCAAGCAGGGGTACTGTTTTTGTAAACTAAAACCTTATAACAGTTAGGAGCAATAGCAATGACGTATTTATTTCTTAAATGAATATCTTTAACAAAATAAACTATAAAACTTTTATTTTACAGATAAAATCTTCTCAAAGTATTTTCATTTAAGAGTAAACCTACTATTTTAATCTTGATACGTATAGCAATATTTTTCCACTTCTTCTCGTGATGCAATTTGTTTTAAATCAATTACAACCACGTCTTCTCGTGATTTAATCCGTAAATTTTGAATAAAAGGATTTCATTACTCTTACCACTTCTTCTCGTGATACAATCTGTTTTATAATAAAATACCAACATTTCTTCTCCTGATTCACTTTGCAAATGTTGAATTTAAAATACTTTTTCTCTTTTCATAACTTAAAATTTTTATTTTGAAATCTGATTTTTTATTGTAAAAAGTTAATAACATAAGGATGTCGGTTTATGTAAAGAGATGCTATTATTTACATTTAAAAACTTTTAACAGAACTAAAGGGCATTATGAATATTCCATAATGTTACGCATGCGTACCAATATGTAAAAATGTCAACATTGGCCAATATTAACTGTTTAATATTAAGCCAATATTGGCAAACAATATTTCGCCAATATTACCATATCAATATTGGCGAAATATTGTTTGCCAATAATGGGATAATATTGGCACAATAATGTTTGCCAATATTAGTAAGGCAATATTAGCGTAATATTACTTGACAATATTGGCGCATTATCGGATATCTCGGCCAAGATTAGCCAAGATGCCTAATATTGTGCCAATATTGCGTCAATATTGTTTGCTACTTGGGTTACTACCGAGCCGGGGTTTGGTCCTAAAAAGACTTCTTTTGAACGTTTAAAAAGAGTTCATAACGTCTTTTGAACGTCTTTAAATTGGACCACAAAAATTAATATTGGCTCCATTGCAATTTATTCAGATTTTAAAGATCAAAAAAATTAACAAATACTTAAAATTCCACAGTTAAATGCAGAAGGGATTTTCGTGGAACCTTCATGGTATATCCGCCTGGTATTTTGTGAGGGTCCCACGAGGTTTACACATTGCCAATCTTGCAAAACTACGTTTAAATGTTTAAAATTTACAGAAAAAGCAATTATAAATAATAATTATATATAAATAATTAAATAATTAAATAATTATATATAATTTGATTGGTTTATTTAAAAAAATTAGTAATTAAAATTACACTGTCGAAAAAAAACCACTTTTAAACGATTCTTTAATCATGTATCTAATGCTTTCACAGTTATCTCGGGAATCGAAAGCTTTTCCATTGTTGTTAAAACGACTTCTTTGAAAACCTCTTTACACAATATCTCGTTTTAAAATGAGCTGTAAATAAATTTAACTCCTAGTTTTACATTTTATAGGTAACACATACATTATTTTTAATATGTTATAAAACTCTTACGATTTCTTCCAACATTCTTCAGAAAAACAACGTAATTTTCACCATCGAAGGTAGAAAAATATAACCTTCATTTTTATAATTGACATTTATTTCAACGTTTTAAAATGTACTTGTAATAGATAAGCACATGCTTGTGATTCATATAATAAATTGATAACATTCCTCTAGTTACTAATAAATAAATTATAAAAAAATTATTAAATTAATATAATTTTATATTTATTTTGTATATAATTTGATATATATTATATATTCCTTATATACAGTGCCGTGGCTACTAGATACAAGCTCCCCTCCCATAAAAAAAAAAAAACAACCTGTCATAAGGTCGCAAAATTCTAAAAAACTTTTCCAATAAAAAAAAAAATCTAAATAAAAATACTAAATAAAAAAAAAATCCTTACATTTGTAAAAGGGCCCCAAAATTTGCAAATGAGCCCCCTTGACAAAGCTCTGCTTATATACACACACAGATATACTTTTTAAATATATATATATATATATATATATATATATATATATATATATATATATATATATATATTTATATATATATATACTTTTTTATATTTTATATATATATATTTATATATTATATATATATATATATATATATATATATATATATATATATATATATATATATATATATATATATATATATATTTATATATATATATATATATATATATATATATATATATATATATATATATATATATATATATATATATATATATATATATATACTTTAAGTAAAAATCAAAGCATTTAGACTATACCTTTAGATTTTGATATTTTTGACCACATATATATATATATATATATGTATATATATATATATATATACATATATATATATATATATATATATATATATATATATATATATATATATATATATATATATATATATATATATATATATATATATATTTATATATATACTTTTTTATATTTTATATATATATATTTATATATTATATATATATATATATATATATATATATATATATATTTATATATATATATATATATATATATATATATATATATATATATATATATATATATATACTTTAAGTAAAAATCAAAGCATTTAGACTATACCTTTAGATTTTGATATTTTTGACCACATATATATATATATATATATATATGTATATATATATATATATATATATACATATATATATATATGTATATATATATATATATATATATATATATATATATATATATATATATATATATATATATATATATATATATATATATATATATATATATATATATATATATATATATATATATATATATATATATATATATATGATGATATACCCATATAGGATTATTGCTCTCATCTCCCAACCTTCCTTCCCGACCTTCGTCATAACTAACGTTATAATCCGATAATCTTTTTTAAAAAAAAAAAAGATTAAATTTTTTTGTTTAAAGTTAATTTTAAAGTTAATCTAGCGTTATAAAAAAATATATAAAAAAGCAAATGCTTTTTAATTTTATTCGTTATAAAAAATATATAAAAAGCTTTTTGTCAAATTATATTAATTGTCTTTTACAATATAAAAAAATGGTTAAAGTAAAAAAAATTGAGGAAAGTAAAAAAATAAAAGTCAAACGACAATTATTTGTCAAACCTGTAGCTGTAAGTTTATTATTTTCTTTTTTTAAATTGTTTTCTTTTTTTTCTATTGTTTTCTTTTTTTGCTGAAATAGCTTGCACTATGATTAAAAAAATTACTTTTCATAATTTTAGAAGAACTTTTGTCAATTCTTCAGGTGACACTTATGTAATTGATTTAGAAAACAAACCAGAAGATCAACAATTATGTTATCGTAGTTATGTTTCTTGGTGTAAAGGAAATACTCCTTCTACTCTTAGTATTAATAATTTTGCAGATTTTTATACCTATGACGACGACAGTTTTATTAGAAACCCTAAAGATTATTTCAGTAAAACGAATAATTTAACTGAACCTTTAGCAATTGACACTACTAGCGATTATAATTATGTTAACGACAAACCTCCGGCAACCATTCAAGGAAACAATTCCTTACAAATTACCGTTGATTTTGTTACCAATTTTAAAGGTATCGTGACTCTGTACCTTCAACATGCGGCACAATTGATTCAAACTGGAACAGGAGAAGACGAAAATTACACATATTTTCCTTTCAAATTTAAATCATCATAACACCTTTTACAACATTTTTGTTTTAGTTAAATTAACCATGTTTTAATTGTATTTTTTTATGCACGCACGACTATTTAATTTAAAAAGATATAAAAAACTTCATTCATACTTTGTTTTTTCTAAAAAAAAAATTTTTTTAAATCTATGGCGCGAAGGCATTATCGAAAAAGAAGACATCATCGAAGACATCGAGGTAAAGGAAAAATTATTACTAAAGTTAAAAATCTAGCTAGGCGTATTCTTAGATCTGACGTAGGAGGATATGCTCTTGATTATTTAGCAAAACAACGTAATGTGTAAAACGTGTAAAAAAAGAAATTATTCAAGAAAAAAAAAACGTTTTAGAAAAAAAATTCGAGGATCTGGAGATCTAATGAAAAGTTTAGCAGTCATTGAAAACTTCGCCTACATTTGTGTCTATTGTTAAATCACCCGTAGCACATTCTATTATGAATGCTATAAAATCAAAATAATAATCTATTTAAATAACATAAAAAAGATTATAAAAAAAGACATAAAAGTAAAAAAATGATTTTATTTTTATTATAATGCGTAGAAGACGTGGTCGTGGCAGAGTTTATTTACCACCATTAAAAGGAGCTGGTAAAAGACGATTAAGAAAACGCTTGCGTGGCAAATTTTTACCATTATTAGCAATGGGTATGTTGGGAAGTACATTTTTAGGAGGTATGCGATAATACAAAAATAAATATGCATAAAAAACGAATTTTTTAAAAAAGACGATCTAAAAGACGTTACAAAAAACGGATACGTGGTAAATATATGGCTGCAATAGGAGCAATTGCTTCAAAACTTTTACCAAGACTTTTACCTGTATTAGGAAGAGCCGCTTTAGGTGGTGCAGTTTCGGGAGGAATATCTTATGGGATCAATCAAGCTGGAAAATAAAAACATTTCTTTGTATCATTTTAATTTATTAAATATTGTATTACAACCGTATACATGCTCGTGTTTTAAATTAAATTTTTCATAACCCTTATAATAATTAATAAAATTTTCCAAGCGTTTTAATAATACAACTAAACGTTTGTTATCTATATCAAATTTTCATATGATAAACGATTCCAAACTCGATTGTTTCTCGTTATAACCCGGACTATCAATAACAATAATATAAAAATATTTTTTTCGTATACACGTTAATATAAAACAAAATTCATAAAGTTCTTTCAAATTTGTAAAGTTTGTAATTTCTACAATACAATCTAACTTGTCCATCATTTCTTCGATTGATTTATATTTTCTTTTTTCAGTATTATTTAATACTTCTCTACAAATCTTCTCCAATTCGTAAAGGTTCATATTCATTTATTTTAACTATAAGCACACAAACAATATATTGAAGTGTTCCAAAAATAAATAATAATATCATTAATAATGTCAGCAACGTAAACACCAAAACCATTAACAAAAAATTTGCAATCTTTCCAGAAACGAGTAACAACAATTTTGCTATCTTTCCCAATTTTGAATAATTTTATAGTTTTATTGCATTAAGTTTAACAAAGTTTCCAACACATTGAAAAAACTTGCATATTTGTATACCACTTTTTTTAATAAAATTTAAAACTTCCATTTAAAATGCAAAAAGAACTTCTATTATTGTAAAAACAAATATAACAGCTTTAACTTCCCAACTATGTACTTGATTACCATGTGAATCGCACATATAAGGATTTGGTTTTGGTTTTTCTGAATTATACGGTTTTACAACTGCAACAGGTTTTGGTTTATCGAACTGTTGTAATGGTTTGTTCTTTGATTCCATCTGTTTAAAATTAAAAAACATTTGATTTTTTATATATTTTTTTATAACGCTAGATTAACTTTAAACAAAAAAATTTAATCTTTTTTTTAAAAAAAAAAAGATTATCGGATTATAACGTTAGTTATGACGAAGGTCGGGAAGGAAGGTTGGGAGATGAGAGCAATAATCCTATATGGGTATATCATCATATATATATATATATATATATATATATGTATGTATGTATGTGGTCAAAAATATCAAAATCTAAAGGTATGGTATATACGTTTAGATTTTGATAATTTTGACCATATATATATATATATATATATATATATATATATATATATATATATATATATATATATATATATATATATATATATATATATATATATAAATCATTTTTATATCAATAAGGTAAATAATAATAAAAGTAATTATAAAATAAGCAATAGTAATAATTTATAACAATAATAATAATATTAACAAAAAAATATATAAATAATAATAATTACTATAATAATAAGTAAAATGACATGTTATTTCTTCATATTAATCATATTAAGTTAATGATTTGATCAGACAGAAGTCTGATCAAAGGAGTGAAACCATTTTTTTAAATAATATGACTAATAGTAAACATATAGACATAAATATAAAACATAGACACACATTAAGTAAACTTTTTAAAATCATTTATGTAGGTAATAATAAAAGAGAAAACGTTAAACAAACAAAAAATAAGGATTATTATAATAGTGCAAGCAAGTGATTTATCATGCTTTATCAAAAACATATTAAATTTGGCTTTGACATATGAACTTTATATCAAAAGTATTACATTTGATGGAACAAGTACCAATTTAAATTCGTTATCCAGTTTGGATGCCAGTTTGGCAAAGACATTGACAATATAGTCGGTAATTTTTCACATAACAACCAACTGATACAATATGCTTCAATTAGCAAGAAATTCTCTTAATGATTTGGGTGTTTTTATTGATGGTGATGGCCAATATATTAAATGGAGTTACATTAAAGCTTTATTTGAATTAAAAGAGTTTGAAGGTTTGACATTTGCAAAAAAACTTTCAAGATAACATATAGAATTTCATCGACACATAATGAATGTGAAAATAGCTGGCTAAACTCTTAGCAAGTCTGTTGCTGATGCAATTTAATTTTTAATGGTATCTCAACATCCATCATTCTTGGAAGCAAATGGTACAATCCATTTTATTCGAGTTATTGACAAATTATTTGACATGCTCAATTCAAGGAATACAAATAGTAAAAACTTTAAAAAATCTTTATATCTTCATGATCAACTTTATTGGAAAGATTTTTTAAATGATACAATTACTTATCTTAGCAAGTTGACTGATAAAAATTGCATTCTTTTTCTTTTACATATAAGAAAGGCATTTGTTTTAGGTTTAATTATGGCTGCTAAAAGCACTGAAAAGTTATCCACCGATTTGTTGATACTTCTAGAGAAACCATTTAAGTATGTTTTAACTTAGAAGTATTCCCAAGATCATTTTGAACTATTTGCTTGCATTCCTGGCAAAAATTGTTACAAAGCAATCCTGATGTAGTACAGTTAAAGTCATCTTTAAAACGAATTTTGCTAAGAAATTTCATAGTTGGATCGAATCATGCAAATTGCCTAATGTTTGAACCCTATTCTAATGGTTCTATTTTTTCTCTTAAATAGCGAAAGGTTGTGTTCTGTTGATAATTTTGATCTGGATGATTTAGAAGAAGTTTCTTTGTACTGTGATGAACTTCAAATGACTAGCTACAAAAAAGCAATACTTGGATATATCTCTGGTTTTATAGTCAGAACGTTGATAAACACGATTTCTTCTAATATTTGTGTCCAACCATTAACTAAAATTTTATTATACGAACACTCCTATGTGAAATCTTATTTTTTGTTAAATAATGTGAAAAAATGTGGTGGTTTGTTTTTGCCATCAAGAGATATTATTTCTGTTGTTGAGTTATGTGAAAAAATGTTTAACTTCTTCATTAGTGGTAAAGATTTAAAAAAACCAAAAATCACCTCTGACCGAAGTATAAAGCAGAAAATGATTCATTGTGTTAACTAATTAATCATGATTAAAAAAGTATTTAAAGGACTTGATAACCATGACATAGAATATTGGACTGTTAATGAAGATTTACATTCTAGCCAGCTTGTTAAAAAAAATAAGTGAATGTTACTTTAAAATTTTATTGATCAGATATGCCCAGGATTATACCACCTAAGTGCTAAAGAAGTCAACAATTGGACTAAGACAACAAACAAATTTTTATTATTCAAGGGTTTATAAATATTAAATTTTAAAATATAAAAGGTTAAAATACATTACGATGTTTTTGTTTAAACTCTATATGCAAATATGTTTTTAAATGTTTTTTAATTTGTGGCTATTAAAATAGCCGATTGTTTTAGTTTGTAAGCCAACACAATTCTCTTTGACCAAAACAAAATTATATTGGATGTAGGTTCATCACATTTATCATTTTTTAACTAATTATAATTTCTTTTATAATATATCGGCAAACTTATGAAACTCATTGCCTTTAGAACTAGTCAATTCATCGTCTGTAAACTCCCTTGGGGTCGTCCATAAATTACGTCACGCAATTTTTGACCAATTTTGACCTCCCTCCCCCTTTCGTCACAAAATTGTAATACTTAAGAATCAAGTTTTATGTGAGTCGTCACAAAACCACCAACCCCTCCCCCCCTCTATAGCGTGACGTAATTTATGGACAACCCCTTTAAGGCAGGCCTTAAATTTGCTTCGCGCGAATATTTCGTCTTGTGGAAAACGGCCTTTAAGCAAGAGTTACAAAAGTTTTGTGAATCCGCGAAAGTTACAAAAACTGGCAAAAAAAGTGCGCCGTATAAAGTTGCATATATTAACATAAGCACAAATTGGCATTTTGTACTTATGCCGATATTAACAAATTCTTTTGGCGCACTTAACCCAGTTCACATTTGTGCCAGTTTTTGCAATTGCTTAGCACATATGCCAATGTTTGCAAATTCTTTTGACGGACTTATGCTAGTTCGCTTGTGCCAGTTTTTGCAACTGCTTCTCATTTATACCAGTTCGCACTTATGAAATTTGCTCCTATTTAGTCGTCCTATTATTCTATAGGTAACACTAAATAGTAGTTTATTTGTTTTAATTACCATTTTATAAAAATTCTATCATTTTGTAATTTTAGGGACTTTGTCGACGTTTATCTGGATAAACATTACACAGGTATGATGCTTGTAATAGATAATCTATGTTATAATTTAAAGAAAGAAAATAAAAAAATATATATTTTTTCTTTAAATTAGAAAACCATAACTTAAAGAATGCTTTTAATATTAAACATTACACAGGTATGATGCTGGTAATAGATATTTTATGTTATAATTTAAAGAAAGAAAATAAAAAAATATATATTTTTTCTTTAAATTAGAAAACCATAACTTAAAGAATGCTTTTGACTACAAAAATCTCATGCAGTTCTATAAACTCACATTAAAATCAATATTTGATAAGGTATACAAACAATCAAAAGTAGTCGCTTAAAATCTCATAAAAAGTGTTAGAATGCTAATGAAGCAACTATTACATTTAAAATAATTATAATTCCACTTTTAAATAATGCTGTACATTAGGGTACGTCATACTAAAAAATTTTTGAAAATTACATTTTGGGAGTGATTTTATTATGGGTTGGGGTAAGCTAAGCAATATTCAAACAAAAATTTTTTTTTGTGTGAGTAAAAATTAACTTGAAAAATGTAAAAAAGCGCTAAAAAATGCATTTTTACGACAAAAAATTTAAAAAACTTTACTAACGCATATTAATATTTCAATTATCCAATTTTTAACAAGAGCATTTGTATTTGTAATCTATAAATTATAGAACATAGTTACTTTGTACTTGTTATTTGCTTTGCGTTAGTAGTGAAATTAATTGTGCATATTTCTATATTAAAAATTTGCAATATTTGTTGATTTTACTTGTGATTTTTTATTATAATTGTTTTCGTTTTACAGTAAAAAAAAAAAAATAGAATACTGTGTTATGGAGAGTTTAAAATTGACTAGACATTCTTTTACAACTAACTTAACTAAGTATCTTGGAGTAGGAAAAAAAAGATTGGTTGGCAACTGAAGTTCCTACACTGAGAGATGTACTAAGGAAAGGTCTACATATTCAGAAAAGTTTCTTTCTGATGATCTTGATTGGTGAGTTTTTTAAAATGATATTGAAAAGTTAATTTCCAATAAACTTTTAGTAGGCACAGGACGTCCAATAACATCCATAGAACATCCATCTGGACACCCGCTGGGCGTCTTAGGACATTTAGAGGATATCCAAGTATTAGTTCAAGTCCAAGTATTTCAAGCAACAATGTTAAAACAGTTTAAATTTTATATTTTTTGTAGAAGATGTCACCTACCTGTAAAAGAAATCTCGGTGGTATTGGCAGACTTGGTATTGAAACAATGTTCTCAATCCAACGCTTTGTTTAAGACCCCTGTCATATCTCAAAAAACGCTTTCAGATAAAATTTTAACTGCTTGGCATAAATTTAGAGACATTTCTAATCAAAAAGAAACAAAAGAAAAAACTGTCAAACTGTGGGAAGGTAAGCTGGACAAATTGTTAGATATAACAAAATGTGGGTGTAACATATTACTTTGTACAGATAAAAATTCTCCTTGTAAGGAGGTTAAAAATTGTTCTGCAGGAGTACATATTTTATACATTTGTTCTAAAGCTATAAAGTTGCCACAACTTGATTTATTATGGCTTAGATCTCAAAGAGATAAGGTTGGTGAAAAATCAGGCTACCAAATATATCAACTAGACAAGGAAGAAACAGAAAGACAGGTTAAAGCAGTGAAACGTAAAATAACAGATATTGCATCTTTAGAAAATAGACAAAATTTGATTAAAAAACCTCATATTAATACACAGGTTAAAACTGAAAACATCGAAGATAAAGTTTATAAATCAGTGGGGCATGACTTAAATCAAGAAACTTCACCTGAAAAAATTAAAAATCCTCAGAAGACAGCTCCAATAATATCAATCAAAAAACTTCCGTATTTATTAACACTAAACAAAATTACATGAAGATCCCTAATATAGCACTAGCATCTCTTTGATTTGACATATCTCCTGCTGCAACATCTGTAATTGTATTTGCTTTCCTTCAAGATTTGATCAAATCAAATTACTTGCCTCCAAAAATGGCTAGTTTAGCATGTGATCCTAAAAAAATTTGGAGAGCCAGACAAGAGGTTATGGCCAAAACTAGAGTTTTGTCAGAAAAACTCATAATTGAAGCTCCTATCAAAGGTATATTTGTAGATGGAAGAAACTTATTATTGAAGCTCCTATCAAAGGTATATTTGTAGATGGAAGAAACTCATTATTGAAGCTCCTATCAAAGATATATTTGTAGATGGAAGAAACTCAATATTGAAGCTTCTATCAAAGGTATATTTGTAGATGGAAGAAAAGATCCTCTAATTTTGATTGAAGATTTAATTACTAAAACGTTTTGTCGAAAAACAGAAAAGCAAGAAAATATAAAAGTTACTTCTAAACCAGATGGAAGCTATTTGACTCATTACACACCTTCAAAGTGTCCAAACAAACCAGCTAAAGAAGCTGCAATCGGTCTTTATAACTGGATGGTTCCTCGAGGAACTGATCAAACTGTAGTTGTGATTGGATCAGATTCTACAAATTCAATGACTGGATCTGGTAACAATGGTGGATTATTAACTCACCTGGAGAAACTTATTTTAAGAAAATGTTTTTGGTCAATTTGCATGTTACATACCAATAAGCTACATTTAAGACACCTTATTGCAAATCTTGATGGACCTACAAACTCCAAAGATGGATTTATAGGGCCTATAGGCAAACTATTATCAACAGTAAATCAATTAAAATGACTAGAAAAGTTTGAACCAATTAGACAGATTAAACCTTTGATTAAAATTCCGGATGACATTTTAAAGAATATGTCAATCGACGCTTTACTAAGCTACAAGTTAGTTTCTTGTCTTGAATCAGGTATCTTGAATCCTTCACTTGTCAACAGAAAATGTGGTAATCTTTGCCATAGCAGGTGGCTCACAACTGGTCAGGCAATTCTTTGGGTTTACATTAGTGAACATGGCTTAGAAGGTGATACTTTAAAAATTTACTCTTAAAGTTCTTTCTCAGTTTGTGGCTCCAGTATACTTTCATATGTGGTTTAGAATCAAGGTAAAGCACTCTATTGTCGATGGACCCCATCATCTAATCAAACTTCTTTATCTATTAAGAAGTCAAACTGTCGAAGTTATAAATGTCGTTAATAAGTCTGTTCAAAATGGGGCATTTCATGCTCATTCTGAGTCTCTTCTTATTTCTCTTCTTGCATGCTCATCAATTGAAAATAGAGCTTTTGCAGTCAAGATAATTATGAAAGTTAGGGGAGATTTAGAGCAAGGTAATGTAAGTGTAAGAAACCGAAAAAACCTACACTTAACTTTGATGCTATGACTCTCCTTGAACTCATTGACTGGAATAATGAACAAATCTTGGAGCCAAATTTTACATGTAATATGACAAAAAACGATTTACAAAAAGTAATAGATTCTCCTATGGAAGTACCTTACTATCCTCTCCACACCCAGTCTTGTGAAAGAGTTGTTAAACAAGTGACTGAAACAGCAACTGATGTTTGTGGTTTTCAGAGACTTGATGGTTTTATTAGAGCGAGAATAGAGCACAGAGATGTTGTTCCAAATCTGAAATCCAAAAAAGATATAATCAAATTGTTTAGTTTTGATTGATTGATTTTAAAGAAAATTTTATTTTCCATAAAAACTTGTTGTTTTATTTAATATTTTGTGTAATTATAATATATTTGGACAAACCTGTGTGCACCCGCAGAACATTTTGATGTTTTACATATAACAGTTTCAGGAAATTTATCTGCACATTTTAAACTTCAAGTAATACTTTTTTAGAGTTCAACACCCTCACTTATGAGGCCAAATGAACTCAAAAGCATGAGAAAATTATTTTGGTGTTTTTATTTTCAGAGTTCTTGGTGCCATTTTTTGCAAAACATTCTCATTTGAAGCATAAAGATGAACTTAAGTTTAGAGTTGAAAATGGCTGAAGATGTCATGTAAAACATAAAAAAAACTTTTGTGGGTGGAGTAAAATTTAATTAAAAACTCTAATTTTTACCTAATTTGCTTGGTTTTATAGTACTGTAAAAAGTACTTTTATTTCAATGTTGCTTAAAAATACATACCACACAATAAAACCACTACCCAAATTGTTTTTTTTTTTTTAATTTAAAATTTTTTAAAAGTATGACGTACCCTACTGTACATAACCCCCCTATCTATGACGTAATAAAAAAAATTGTTGTTTACTTTTCGTTAATGTTTAAATCAGAACCTTACATTGTATATAAATAAAAAAATAACATTCTACAAGTTTTAAGGTAACATACAAATTTTATAAAATATGAATAATACATAATAGCCTTTTTTTAAAGCCTATTGGGAATCTTTATTAAATAAAAACGTTCCACAGTCAACTAACAATAAAAGCAAACTTTTATAAAATGTGAACTTACACATTAATTGTGATGTTTGTTACCTATATTATAAGTTGTAAAAATGCCACAAAAAAAAAATCTTAAAAAAAAAAATCTTAAAAAAATCTTTAAAAAAAAGTTGACATCACCATTTTGACTATAAAAATACCCCAAAATATATGCCTTTATTATTCAATTTAAATGTAATTAAAGTAGTCTAAAAAAATTGTCAATTGTTATTTGAATCCACCATGTTGAAGATTGTCTATATACCGAATTTCAGGATGATACCTCATTTCAATTATAAAATATTGATATTTAATGACAAACTTTACTTGAACTTTTATTTAAGTGTTATTGAATTTAAAAAATATATATTTTTCATAGTTATAATTATAATAACTATAAAAAATACATAAATATGTAAATTAAAGTATAAAAAAAGTATTTTAAAAAATTATAATATATAAATCATTTGCAGTGTTTAGCAAGAAATTTATATTAAATACATTTAAATAAATATAAACTATTGACTCGTCAATAATCAACAGGAAATTGAAAATCCGTTAAAAATTCTTTAAAAAAAAAATTCTTTTCTCTGTAAAACACTTCACGATATTTAAAAAGAAAATAAATCTATAAATTTACTGTTTCTCATTAAGCACCAAATTTTTCATATCATATTCAATGTCTGCTTGATCCGTTGATATAAAAGCAGGTTCGATAAACTTTCCCTTTGGTTTAAATACAAAGCGTTTTGTCAAAGTCATAAGTCGTATCGTAGACATTTGTTTTGCCACCGCTTTTGAACTTTTAATTATATCCTTTTTTCTAGCTATCTTTAAGTTAAGCATGGTTAACATATCTAATAGTGATTCACTGTGCGCATATTCTTTTAATATAGAGCAAAGTGTTTGAATGTACCATGTACCATTATTAGAATGGCGCCAAGACACAGTACCTAAAGGAAGTTTTCCAAAATTTTCTGATTCAATTTTTAAAAAATAACATCAATTTCAAAAAAAAAAAGAAATGCTAGAAAAATAAAAAATTATAAAGAAAAAAAAGTTATAAACAAGAACAAGATATAGATACTTAAAAAACTCAAAATTCTAGTTTAAAAAAAAAATTACTAAATGTTACTTTATGCCTAAAGTTCCTACTTTAATTCAGGTTACTTTAATTTAATCGAGGGTTACTTTATACTTTTACTTTAATCCAAAGATACTTTATGTCTTAGGTTCCTACTTTAATCCACCACAGAATATTTGAGTTTCATGCTTCTCCTGTTCAAAGTCCTAAAAGTGCCGTGTTTTTTTCTATTGTTTAATTTAAATGTGACACACATATAAATTAAATAATTAGGCAGTCAATTGGTCGTCAAAGAGTAACTGAACTTGTGAAATTCAATGTGCAAAACTTTTATGTGGTTTGTTTTTGCTGTACACACTACAAGTATTACACACAACAGAGATAAAAATCTCTGAGTTTGTTAGACTAACACTTTTATAAAAAGATTTTTTATTTTTTTATTCAGTTTTGAGAAAAAAATATCTAACCTCATTTGAGAGAGTTATTATGTAAAAGTGGGTTACTTCAGGCCAGACTTGAAGTATCATAAATAAAATCTCCAATCATTTTATTTATATTAAATGGATATACTTTTGCTTATTTATTTTAATGATATGATTTATTTCTTTAATATATTTATTACTAGCAGAGGTGCCCGCGTCGCTGGGCACCGGCAAAACAAATCAAAGTTGCTGATGCACAAAGAAAACCCACCCTCCAAAAATCAATTACTTGACTAAAAAACTCTCAATCCTGGGTACTATAAAAAAAACCGCTGCAGAGCGTCTTGGTACACAATACTAAAAGTTTTTCCATCCGGGGATTTTATATACACCAAACACACATAATTTTATATATATTCATATACAATACTCATTTGAAAAGAACGATGCCCCTATACCAAGTTGACCACCACAAAATAAAAGAACCAAAAACGAATTAGTTACCACCAAAAAACAATATTTCCCCACTATGGAACATTCCGGAAAACTCCGGACCACTCCGGTAAATTCTGGCCAACTCCAGAAAAACATGGAACATTCCAGAAAATTCTGGAAAATGACGAAACAAGCAACAGCAATCCATGGAACAGAAACCGATGAAAATGACATCATAGGAAACGCTCAACACGTCCCCCAGACCATTCTCTGCACTTCACAAGGAACATTATATCCGGCTCCCCGACCCAGAAATGACCATTTGAAAGCCCTGTGACCTCGGGCAGCCTCCAGCGACATCCAAGGACAACCCGTTAGAGCCCATGTCACTCCCTGGGCCATGGGGACCATCCACGCCAAACCGCAATTCTCCAGGAACATATAATTATCATTATCATTGTTATTATAAAAAATATAAAAAATTAAAGTAAATAGTATATGAATGAATCACATGTCCCCTTTTTCAAGTTAGCGATTCATATATAATCGCATATAATTAATGTTTAATTTAATGCTGCTGCTTCTACTGTCTAAACTCATTCATGCGCGTTTGACACAGAGTTTTTAAAAGAAGATTTAGCACGCTTATAGGCTGTTCACACGAGGGTACATTTGATGGAACATTCCGTGGAACATGGAATATGAACAAATATCCTCTCGTTTGAACGCAAATGGAACAAAAATTCAAAGAACATTTGAGTAACTTTTGTACCGTCCCGCCAACCCCGAACAAATAAATGTTCCGGAACATTTATTTGGTTTTGTATAAAAAATGGTGCCTATTTTCAACTATTTTTAAAATAAGCGTATGCATATAAGCTAAATGATTCAATAAAAATGCATTGCAAGATGCAAATTTGTTGTGAAAGTAACTCAAACTATTTTTTTTTACAAAGTTGTTGTCATCTTAACCAGAGTTTTTAGTCCTTGATCTCTGCATTGTCCTAGGTCTTGGTTATATATCAAGACAAGATTATCGATATACTATTTGCCTTTCAACATGTTGCCTTGAAACTTTTAGTTTTTGCCTTCCATCATTTTTATTGAATTCAAAACATTTCTTCAAATATAATTTCATATCTTTATTCATTGAGTAAAAACTTGTGGTAATTTCATGCAACCAAGGAAATTCCGATCCCACTCGTGTGGGATCAATCATGAGTAGACCAGATAGTGGGCAATTATTTAAAAACAATTATTGACCATCACAAATTTCAAGTTATTTTTAACGATATTTAAAATTTGTATAAATAGAATAGAAATTTAATTATTAGTGCATTATTAATTAAAAAAGAAGTTATATATGTGTGTTTAAAAACTTAATCTTAAAATATAACATTACAAAGACAGTATTAATTTGAATTAACAAGAAGTATAATTCAATGTAACATTTAACTTGCGTTAAGAAAGTTTAATTTTCATTGTTTAATAGTTTTTATTTAATTATATTCTTGGCAAGCATTGCTATTAATGCATTTTTAATAAACTTATAGTAATTTTATTTATAAAATTCAACTTTGAACTAATAAGCAGAGTTGTTTATCATTGGCCTTGCCAACAGTCATAATAATAACAAAAATAATAATAATTATTATTATTATTATAATTATAATAATAGAATAATAATAGTAATAATAATGATAACAATAACAACAATAACAATTGTTAATACTATTATCATTATTATCATCATTGTTATTATTATTTATATTAATATTATTAATGATATTATTATTGGTATATATTGTTATATATGAGCTTTGTCATATATTTTATTTATATGTCATATATATTTTATTATAATAGCTTTGTCTTATCTTGTTATTTTAATTTGTGAACATTATCATTAGTATTTTCCTCATAAATATTCTGTATTTACTTAATATTAGTTAATTTACTGTTTGTGAATAAATGTGAAAGTAAGACCTTTATTCAGAATATATATTATTGATTGACTGTATTGATATGACTGTACCTTATATCTTTGCCACAATGTACTACAATTATTGACATTTAAAAATAAAAATTAACAATAGTGTTGAAAGATCAATGTTACTAAATAACATAATTATCACATTGCATGGAAAAGTAAAATTAGCATCTAAAAGTTTCTGTTGGCTACCAGATTTTGGCAATTTATTAAATTATTTAGTAAGCCCATAACATTATTAAATTATTTTAAGCCCATAACATTATTAAATTATTTTAAGCCCATAACATTTATAGCATTTATGAAGTTTAACCTTTAATTTTATTATTAACAATTTCTCTTCTTTTTGTTGTTGTTGTTGTTATTGTTGCAAGATTCAATGTACTTATCCTTTTTAGTAGGTAAAACTTTAATTATACACAATGTCTCAGCATTCAGAAAAAGAGTGTATTGACGCTAGCACAACAAATATTGGTCTTTGCACATCTCCTTTAAATAAAGTTGTGTGGAATATGGCTAACACAAGAGTATTATTAGATTTAAGGAAAGATAATTACAAAGCATTAACATCTGCAAGAAGAAACACAAATATTTACAAACAAATAGCAGTTGAATTTTCAAACACATTTAATATCGTACCTCCGTTAACTGGATATCAAATTCAATCTAAAATTAGTAATTTCAGGAAGCAATTTAGCTATGTATATATATTCTACATTTAATGTTTGATACCTTACTGAAATACTGAAAGTATTTTACAAAACTAACCATGTGTAATAATAACTAATTGCAATTTAGTTTGTAACTGAGTGTTATATTAAAAATTACTTAAATCTTATTCAGTATTGAAGATTTACAGCTTGTTGATAATTATTTTGTTAATAATTTGTTATTTTATTATTCGTTATAAAATAAACAATTGCCACAATGGAAGATGGCAAGGAGACTGTCAGTATTTTAAATATTGAAGCTTTGGATGATACAAGTGATGTGCAATCAATTGTCACTATTCCTGATGAGAAACCAACTCAATCTACATCCAGCTGCAATAAACGAAGGAACTCTGATGATAAAAAACTTTGAATAAAATAGCAAAAACTGAACTGGTGAGAAAAAAATAAAAAAACAAATTTTTCTTCTGAATATTTAAAAATAGCAAATAAAAATCTAGATGTTCAAATCCGTTCACAAGAGCTACGAATCAGAGAGGTTGTTGCTTTAGAGCGTATTTGCAATGCAATTGAAAATGCATCTAAAGCCCAAATAGATGTGTCTAAAGCCCAAGTAGAATATTATAAATTTTTAATAAAAAAATAAGGTGTTCTATTAGTCAAGATATCTTTTTAGTAATTATGTTGAAGTTGAAAGGTCAGTATTTTTTCAACAGTATACCTCGTTTACAATTCTATGCAATATATATTTCATAAGGTTTTTCAATGTTTTAACTAAAGAGATGGTTAGTGAAATATTGTACAAGCTTGTAGATGAAGCTCTATTTATATATATTTTTTCATGTTACCATATTACTATTATCAAAGGAATTTTTAATTTATGTAAAATAAAAATATTTTGTGATTTCAAGCATTAAAATGCATATCTGGTGGTATTTTTTAAATTTGTCATGTTATTTTATAAATACCTTTTTTTGTATCTCTATGCTATATATATTTAGTATTTTTACCAAATAATTTTATTTTGCGATATGAAGCAAGCCTGTAGATGAATTATAGTGATATGTTTTTTGCCAACGTGTTTTGTTTTTTAATTTATACAAATTGCATTACATGTTTCATTTTTGTTTTTGTTAACAGATCATGCTGTATTAATTCTAACAAAATGGTTTTTGAAAATGTGTTTTAATTTCCCTTGAATTGTAATATAATAAGTATTATATTTATTTAATATATTTGTATAATTTTAATAGCTTTTTAGGGAGACATCTGTACAGGAAAAAGCTATTGGAAAAACATGGAAAGCGTTTTGGCCGTACTTCGATCAAGAAGTAGAACATTAATCAATGAT